TATACCATTCGACTCAAATTAGGCGTGAAAAATTCAGGCTCACCCTAAAATGAATCAATCACCGTCCTAACCAAGGCTGCCTCAAGAATCATTGTAAAATCTACTGGGTTATTTATGGTGTTTACCTTTTGCTTTTATCTTGCTTTAGATGAATAGATATACTATTGTGACTCCGTTTTGGTTTCTCAGAAAAAGATCTTCTACCAAAGATACTACAAGCCCTATTTATTTTTAAAAACGAAATCTCAAAATGCACTTTCTTCCCTCCCCAAAGGCTATGACAGAGATGAATGTTTTCTGCCTCTTAGACTCCCTAACCTCCTCCAAGGCTCAGCTCAAATGCCACCTCCTACAGGAGACCTCCCATGATTTCTTCAGGCGTGAGTTCTCTCCTCCCCTCTGCACTGTCAAAATGACTTTGCATTTACTTGGTATCCAGTTCTATATACTTCTCTGTGTACGGGTTGTTTTCCACCAATAAAATGTTAAGTTCCTTGAGGGCAGGCACTGGCACAGTGCCAAGTACAAAGTAGGTGATTAATAAATGCTTTCTTGAATGTATAGATGAAAGATTAAACTCCATAGAAATCCTAAAATACAATTTAATTCAAACATTTCAAAGCGTCTACTAGGTGCTCGACTTTGTGCTATTGGAGATGATACAGACGACACAGAACAAACCAGTCCTGCCTTCAAGGATCTTAAATTCTAATTGAGGGAACATGCAACACATTTACAATATCACCACATAATATCACTTCAAGAACGAAACAGGTGAAAGAAGCAGTAAAGGCCTCTGTAGGAGGTGGTGCCCGAACTGGGCTCAGGAGGCACAAAGATTTTAAGACAGGGAGGTGAGGAAAGGAGGCATTCTGAACACTGCTCAAAGTATCCAGAATTTAAGATAAAGAAATAGCGTTTTCCTATACAGATGTTTTGATTCCCCTGACAGTTGTCTACCTGTCATCTGTCTGCCTGTCGGTCTGTCTCTGTCTTTCTCTCTGTGTCTTTGCATCTCTTCCTCTGCTCTGTCTGTATCTGTGTCTCTGTCTCTCTCTCCTTCTCTTTCTCTCTCTTTCTCTGTCTGTCTCTCTATCTCTCTCTCTCTGTCTCACTCTCTCTCTCCTTCTCTCTCTCTGTCTCTTTCTCTGTCTCTGTCTCTCTTTCTCCATCTCTCTGTCTCTCCTCTCTCTCTCTCCTTCTCTCTCTCTCTCCTTCTCTCTCTCTCCTTCTCTCTGTCTGTCTCTGTCTGTCTCTGTCTTTATGTCTGTCTGTCTCTCTCTGTCTTTGTCTCTCTCTGTCCCTGTCTCTGTCTCTGTCTCTTTCTCTCTCTCTCTCTCTCTCTCTCTCTCTTTATTAGTGTGGGGAACTCTTAGTGAGAAAACCTTCTCCACAAACGTAGATCACCAATTATTCTCTAACTAGCAATGAGCTCCCAATGCACTAAGAGCATAATCCTTCAGCCGGGATGCGTTAGTTAGAAGGCTCAAACACACATCTTATTTTCTCTCTAACTACTCCAATATGCTGTCTCTCTTGGTATCCCTCCACTATGTAAATACATGAGTTTGCCAGGTAGAATATAAGCTCACTGAGGGCAGGTTTTGCCTTTGTTTCAAAAGCGTTTTAAGCACTATGTCCCCCAAGTTGCCAACCACTAGGGTGCAAATACGAACTCGAAGCAGTTCTTGGATTATATCCCAGAACAGTGCCTGGCACACAGTAGGCATTCAAGAAATGCCTGTTTAATGTAATGGATCCTCCCAGCCTTTGGTGCTCTCTCCATATATCTATTTAAATTGAGTATATGCTGCAGTTTAAGGTAAGCTCCTTGGCAAGGTAAGGGCTATTTCTGTTTTGTTTTTGAATCCCCATTGCTGAGCAGAGAACCTGGCATACACTGTAATAGGTAGTAGGTTCAATAAATGTTTGTTGAGTTGAACTATTTAATAGCATACTTTAATCCCTCTTCCTTGAGGAAAACACGTCAAGCAGTCCAGTGATTCTTGACTGTAACTACTCTACCTGCATTCAGAGAGCTGTATGTGCTAATATCACATAACAGCCCTGTCACTCCCCAGCTCAAGAAACTTCTGGAGCTCCTGATGGCTAAAATACCAACTTCTCTATTAAATATGTTAAGCACTTTATATTCTCACCCCAGCCTATCTTTCTGGACTGATTTCACATTACTCCCCCTCACAGACTCTCCATTCCCACCTGCTGGGCCCTGGACACACAGTTCATCTCCCTTTGCACAGGCTGTCCCCCCAAGACTGAGAGGCACTTCTTTGTCACTTGGAATGTGGAACTTCCCTTCAGGGCTCAGCTCAAATGGCGTCTCCTACATGCATTTCCTGATACCTCCAATTATTAGTGTCCCCTCCCCCCTAAAAAAAACTTTGTACATGTTTTCTATTGATCTATCGGTGTGCATGTCGCAAAGAACATAAGATCCTTGAAGTCCAGGCCCATTTCCTGTTGGTCTTTTTATTCCTATTCCTGGCACATAGTAGGTATTTAATAAATATTTGTTGAATGAATCTATGGTGCCCAATCTAAATGTCTTACTTGAAAAAAGAGGCCAGACTCCATGTTAAAAAAAAAAAAAGCATAAGAACAAACAAGCATCCAATCCCATATCAATCATTCAACGAACATTTATTAGCATTTACTATGTGCGGGGCAAGCAAAAACACCCCTGTCATACAGATGCTTCTATTCTAATAGAGGAGTCAAAATATACAAAACAAAATACACAGGGAAAGACAGAGGGAAGGGAAAGAAACCTTAGAGGGGGTGGTATACAAATTGAATTCAGAAGTTATTCTTCAACAGGCCAGCAAACCAACCAACTTTTTATTCATTCAAAGAAGCCAAGCAGCTAGGCCAGTCAAATCCCACAGCACATTCCCACAGAAGACAACTTCCTTCAGCTCCTGGCCTCTCCTGGGAGGCTCACTGAGCAGCAGAATGAACACCAGCCTCCAAGTCTAAAGACCTGAATTCCAATCCTGACTCTGTTCCATGTTTGTTCTGCTACCTTGGGCAAGCCATTCCCATTCTTTAGGCCTCAGTTTCATTATCCGGAAAATGACTAGATGATCTCTAGATGATTGGACTTTCCAATTCTAATTCCTCCACATTGGAGGGTTAGTGCTTTGGAAGGGGGGAAAAATCATTAGGGCAGCCAAGACTTGATAACAATAATGAGCATTTATATATCTCTAAGCACTTGTGATGGGTTATTTCATCTGATTCTGGAATCAGCCCTGTGAAGTAGGTGACATTATTTGCCCCTTTTTCCAGATGAAGATACAGAGTCTGAGAGAGGCAGGTGTTATTATTATCCTATTTTACAAAGGAAAAAAACTGAGCCTGAGAGTGATTTAGTGACGTTCCAGGAGCCACTCAGGGTCTGAGGCAGGATTTGATTTTAATCCTCCAAACTCCAGGTTCAAACCTCGATCCACCGGACTACACACATATATACACACACTTAGCATCCCACCTATGCCTCTCCTAAAATCTGAGCCTCATTGCAAGAAGCAGCCTCTGACTTCACTGCTGAATACAGCAAGATTCTGTTGGATAGCTATTGATCTTTCCATCAGAAGCTTAATGCCATATGGAAAATATATCGATGTTGAACTGACCTTTTATCTTTAAAAAAAAACAACAACACACAACTGATTTAGCATGCTGCCATTTTGAATTGTTAAGACAGATTTCTTCCCAAAATGCTGCATCATCTGGGCAGGATAGGCACAGGCAGTCACCATATTCTCAGCAGCAAATGTAAGTCACAAAGGTATCCTGAGGCGGTTGTGAGGCTCCGGTATTTAAAAAGAAAATCCAAGGACGCTGCCGAACCCTAAATGCCAGACTCAAACCCCAAGTCAGTCTTGCCAGTGAGTGACGCCAGCATTAAAAGTGGTGTGACTGATGCTCACCCCCATTCTAAGTATGACTCGCGTTTTCAAAATCATGAAACAGAAAACTTTTTTCTTTCTTCCTTCCTCGGGCTCGGAAGGACCACAAACATCACCCCTTCATGGAGGCAGGGGCGGCCCAGGCAGCTCCCAAACTGAGGCTAGAATCTTAGATGCAAAGACAAGGAGGGCAGCGAATGAGTCACCACTCACTCAAGTGCAAACATTCAACAGGGCCCGGGAGCCGGCCCTTCAGGAGCCCCCAGCCCCAGCCCCAGGCGCCCCCCAAGGTGAAGCGAAGGGGAAGGAATGTCTGCTGCCTACTCTCTATGCGACAGCACAGCTAGAGGACCCTGGGGGCATGGGGGTGGGGGGCAGACGGCGGGAATGGCCTCCGGGCTCATTAAATCCGCTCTAAAGGGAAACTCGGCAAACGAAGCCGGGAGGGTGGCAGGCGGGCCAAGGGCACGGGCAGGAGGTCTGTAAGGGGAGACTAGGCAGCCATGTTAGAATCCTCCAGACAGGTACGGGAACTCTCGGGAAAAGGAGAGGGTGGCTGGACCGCCTGTTTGTGCCAGGCCGAACACGGGGGATGCAGAAGGGGAGCCTTCTCCCCCCAAATACTCCAGAGGACAATGGGGCGGGCAAGGAGGGCAGGAAGGATGCGGGAGGAGCAGCAGGGAAGGATGGACGGCACGCACACGGAGCGACATTTGCCCACACACTCGCAAGGATGCAACTTGGGGAGCTGCTCCTTGGAAAGAAAGAAGTGGGGGGGAGGGGCAGCGGGGTTGAAGGAGGGCCCGGGGCCCCCGCTTGGCTGTCCAGTCTCTCTCCCCCTCTAGGGTCTGACGGAGCTGCAGCACACATACCCAACCACACAGCCACGGTAGTCCGATCGTGATCTTGACTCAGGACCAAAACCTGGGTGGAAGGGATGGGGGTGGGGGGAGAACCCCGGGGAAAGAGGCTGCCCCGGCCTCCAGCTCAGAGCAAACCGAACAGGAGCCCCTGCTCGGTGCCGCGCGGGCAGCAGCCCCTGCGAGATGCTCTGCACGGAGGGCTCACCTGGCTGGACGCTCGCTCTCTCCCGGGCTCGCTGTGTCTCTGGGCTCCCCGGAGGCGGCGGCTGCTGCTGCTGCGGCGGCGGCGGCAGCCCGGGCTGCAGTGGCTGTAACAGAAACTGCCCAAGTGCCTGCCGGTGCTTCCCCGCCCCCCTCCCTGCTCTCCCACCACCCCCACCCTCAGGTAACAGCTGGCCCTAGCCCACGTGACCAGAGACCCCCACCCCCACCCCCGGGTCCCCAGACAGCTGGGGCCCCTCCCAGCCGAGGCGGAGGCTGCAGGAGCTGAGGACGGCGCGGTGGCCCCAGCGTCCGTCAGCTGCCAGCCTAGCGAGCAGCGGCAGCAGTGCGGCTGAGTGCCAGGGGGGAAGGGGCGGGGGCGGGGAGGGAGGAGCACCAAGTGGGAGAGATCTGCGGCAGCCTGGGCGGGTCCTGGGACAAAGCAGCCCCCTGGGGTGTTTGCTCCGCGTGCGGATGTCAGCGACGCAGTCCGCTGAAGAGCCCGCCCTCTGACTCTCCATCCGGCCTGGGCCGTGCCTTGCCCTGGAAGGGCAGTTTCACCCTCCAGGGGATCGCCCGCAGGCCCCCCCAGGAACACTGGGCCTGTTGCTCTGACCTTCATGCAGGCTCTGAGAGAGAGCTCCTCCCGATCCCTTTCCCTAGACCCTGTTGCTTGGACCGGCTTTCTCCGGAGACCAGCTGAGAGAGGACATTAGGGATGATACAGAGGGAAATAGGTTTGGAGAGAGAGAACTTGAATTCCACTCCTGGCACTGCTATTGACCCCCTGTGTGACCTTGGGCAAATCTCTTCCCCTCACTGGACCTCAGTTTCCCTCAGTGCCGTACAATGGGAATAAGAAGACTTGAGTTCAAATCCTGCCTCCAGCACAGAATAAACTCCGATGTTACGCTGTTTTAGACGGGGGCCAAAGTGGAAATTCGGTTCGCTTTACTAAGCTTTCTTTCTTTCTTTCTTTTTCTTTTTTCCTAGTGGCTGTGGAGTTGGAAGAGAGAGACCAGTGATAAATTTGCAGAAAAAGAAAGAACACTAAAGAATTTTAATGGAGTTGGCGTGGGGGGAACAGGAAGAAAAACAAGCAAGGCACCTTTGAAAGCTATGAACTAAATTTATTATAGACTTAAAAGAAGAGTCAGCTGTACAAGACAGGTTATAATTCCATAGTAGATGTTAAGCCCCTGCTATATTTCTAGAAGCTAGGCAGAAAAAGACCGCTACCAATCAGAACAAAAGACCCTGAATTCAAGGAACTTTAAGATGTGCTTGGCACTAGGGACAGAAAGCCTGTATTTAAGTAACTTACATTCTATGGACTCTGTGGTATTCAGAGGCCATGCACAAGGATCATCTGTGTCACATATATGCACAAAATTACAAAACAGGATCATCCATTTAGGGCTAGAAGGGACCTCAAAAGTCATCTTCTTTTTACAGATGAAGATTCAAAGGCCAGAGAGCTGAAATGGCGTGGTTGAGGTCACACAGGCATCTGGCAACAATGGCAGAATTTGAACACAGGTCCTCAGCTCCAATTCCAGGGTTCTTTCCAGTTTGGGGGAGAATAAATACCTTCGAAGAAGGTAGCCTGTGAGCTGTGCTTTGAAGAAAGTTAAGGAGAGAAGAAGTATTCTAGGCAACCCATACAACATCTGGGCCATGGGAGAATGGAATGTCCCCTCTGGGGAACACTAGAAAGGAGAATATGGGAGTATATATATGGAAGTATATATGGGACTGAATGGGACTGGACATTCATGGAAGAGTCAGATTTTATAGGGACTTGAAAGCCAGCCTGAGGAGTTGATACTTCTTCTCGAGGCCATAAGAAGCTACTAGGGATTCTTGAGCTAGGGAGTGGCACAGATCCATCCATGTTGGAGGAATATCCATTTGGCAGCTCTGTGGAGGATGGATTATAACAAAACAAGGGCTTTGAATGATGTCTAGCCCTAAATCCTGTGACACACCCAGAGTTTCCTAGGTCTAAAGGCCACATTAAATTTGTCCTTGAGGTTTCTGCCCCATCTAGGAGGAAGTTGACCGTGGACACATTTCAGGTGTTCTGGGCCTCTCAGAGCCCAGAATACAAGAGATGACTCACTCCTGAGCATAAGCATTCTTTTCCTTGGCTTGTGAAGGTTCCACAGCCCCTCTGGTTTTGGTTTTGGTTTTTAGCACCCAACCTAAAACACTTAGGACAATATTCACCGGAGAAAATGTGACTCTTGAGAACTCTATTGCCATCTATCACTTGTCAGCTAAAATGAACATTTGTTGAGAGCCGACAGCACTCAAGGCACTGTGCCTTCCTTATCTCTTTATGTCAAAGGGGTGTCCAAATTGTATTCCTAGAACTTAAAGTGTTAGAGTTAGGAGGAATCTTGGAGGACTTCTCATCTCTTTCCTTTGACAGATGGGAAAACTAAGTCATGGAGTGACGCATCCAAGGTCACAAGTTTTTCTGATTCCTAAGATATGCGGGGGGTGCTAAACTGGGAGCTTTGAAGTTAGAGGCTGCAAAGATCGCTGAATTTGCAACATTTCACTGGAATCACAGTCCACGGCCACTAGGGGGACCCCTTCTCACCTGCTCACCTCGCTCCCCTGGCCCCATGGTGAAGGCTGGGGCTCAAGAAGCCCCTTCCCTCCAGGTGCTCTCTCCTCCTTTCCTTCCCGGAGTGCTGGGGCTGCCGATCGCTCCCAGGGCCTGCACGAGATGGCAGTCAGCGATGCTATGCCTTCTGAGGAGATGGAGTCACACCACAGCTCCCCCTGCTCTACGACCATGTTGGTTCTCTGCCCACCCCAACACAGTCGGAGCACCTGAAGGTAAGAACAGCTTCAGGCCGACCTTTATATCCCCAGCACCTAGCGGCGAGTCTGACACACAGTAGGAGCTCAACAGAGCTTGCTGGTTGATGGAATGCAAGTCACTGTGCTTGGCACTGCACACAGTGCAGACCTGGGAATCAGAGGATGCTGGCACTGCCACCAATTCCCTGTGTGATCTTAGAAAAACAACCTCTCAGGACCTGTTTCCTCATCTATAAAAGGACAAGGGAAGGGAACAAGCATTTATTAAGCACCTACTGTGGGACTGGCACTGCGCTAAGCTCTTCCTCACAACAACCCTGGGAGGGAGGGGCTACACCTAGGGTGGGACAAGGGTATGGAGAGCACTTTTTCTGTCCTTCAACAGCAGAAAAGCAGGAGAATTTAGCACCTCCTTAGCAAGAATTAATCAAAACGGAAAGCTACCAGAGGGTGGTCTAGGGAAAACTCTTCCCTTGCCCCCAACCCTTTGCTATCCACCTGGCTTCTATCCACCTGTCTACACATCCTGCAAATGTGGACTACACTCTGTGTTGGTCTCAGGGGGAGGGTGTTTGTTGTCCTGAGCCCAAATGCAAAAAACGCCTTGTGTTTGTTCTGTTTCTAATCACAGCCCACTAAGCACAAAGGGCTACCTGCTTTTTGAGGAAGTTCATAGCAGCAGAGGCTCTAGGGGTCATCCCCGCCACCTTCTCCTTTTACAGAGGCCCAGAGAGGTCAAGGAAGTGGTGGTAGAACTTGAACCCGATTCTCCAAGTCCAAATCTATTGCTCTTTTCCATTTCATACCCCAAGCAAAAGGCACCAGATTTCTTCCTCCCACCGAGCTCCAAAAACCTGTATTTCTCTGCATTTTCTCTTCATACGTTAAAAAAGGGGGAGGGGAGGGGAGAGCTGAGAAGAAACATAAGATTTTAGAAATGGGAAATCTTCGTTCGTGTCTTTGGCATTTATTTGTTGTCATGAAGAGACACTTAGTCAAATCCTTTCCATGTTCTGGGAAAGTCACTGTGGGAGTATTCTCTGGCCTAATTTAGAACCAGTGGTGTGAGAATGCTCTTTACTAAGGGAACTGAAATGCCTGCTGGTTGAATGGTAAATCCAGGAGGGGGGACGGGGAGGCCCCAGAACTGCTCCCCTGTACATATTCCCCAATTTCCATTACTGTCCAACACTTTTATCGATTTTAAATTTAGACCAAAGGTGGAAAATTCATTTGGCCAGTGGACCAAATGAAGGGGTAAGGGATGGTGTGAGGACATGGTGAGCCCAGAAGCCTCATTAGCCTCTGCCAGCAAAAGAGTGCCTTGCTATGGGGCCCAGCCACCGCCATTGTCCAGAGGATCCTGGGATCATTGCTATAGGCGCTTATTGATTCTTGCTGAGTTCTGCCCTGCTCTTCCTGACCCCATGGACTACATTATGCCAATAATGTCCATGGGATTTTCTTGGCAAAGATATTGGAGCGGTTTGCCGTTTCCTTCTCCAGCTCATTTGACAGATGAGGAAACTGACCCCAAGGTCACATAGCTAGGAAGTGTCTGAGGTTGGATTTGAACTCAGGTCTTCCTGACTCTAGGCCTATTGAGTCATCTAACTGCCCTTTGTAACTCACAGATACTGGAGGCCTATTGATCAACAAATAAGCATACATTAAGCACTCTGACAACATAGACAGAAAAAAATACCGACAAGATGAGCTGCCTTAGGGAGAATGGCACCAATGGATTGGGGGCAGGGGATGGATGGAGGAAAGGCTTCGGCAAAAAGTGGCCCCAGAGCATGGGGACAGACAGTGCAAAGTCAAGTCTTGGCCCTTGAACTTGAAGCAATGCCAGCACAGGGTGAGCCTCATTTAAAAAACAAACAACTTTATAATCAATATTCAGAATGGCCCAAAAGTCTAAAAACTCCAAACTGCACCATAATCTGTATTTCTTATCTAACTCCAATTCAATTCCATGAGCATTTATTAAGCTCCTGCTATATACAAAACATCATGCTAGTTCTGGAGATACCAGGACCAAAATGTCCTCCAAGAGTTTACACTCTAAGGTGGGGGGGGGGGGGGTGTTCATAACATAAATATACAAAGTAAATACAGAGGAATTATGGAGGTGGGGGAAGGGCTATTATCTGGAGGTCTGAGAAATTGCTTGTGTAGGCAGGTCTACACCTAGACCCTGCCAAGGACTTGCAACTCAATGCATTTTTAAAAATACG